TGCCACGATTATTTTATTCTTTTATTCTTTTATTCTTTTATTCTCTTCCATTGTATATTGTTTACACTTTTTCACATATTTTAGCGTTCGCCACATTTTATCGTCTTCAACTTGCTTCAACATATTTATGCTGATTTGGAAAACTTACTCACTTGAAAATGACCTCAGAGAGGTCGAAACGTCGTGACTGTTTAGCGCTAGCTTTTATTTCAAAGTCGATTTCTAAGAAACTACTTATTAAAATATGTACTAGGAGATTAAAACAAGTTTTGACTATTATTATTTTTAGTTCATGTAGTGCTGTTCACTAGTTAATCCTTTACAAAAGTTTCATACAATGAAAGACCATTGCAGAGGTTTCTATTGTTTTTCTTCCACTTCTAGTTGCTTTTCTACTTTTTACATTGGCTAAGTAGTTTTTTTTTTATGGATCTCGAGAGTATGTGTTAGCATAAATTACATTTCATTTATGTCCTTAAATTACGTTTCATTTACGTCCTGATGGAACAATTACAATGAACTTGTATGCTTAGATTTATAATACATGTATGGGTACGAATGTAAACTGATCAACAACTGTTTTTAGTTACAGCGTGCACAGAATAATCCGTTTGCGGCATTATTTGGCGGAACATCAGGTAACAGCCCACCAGAAGTAGCATATAGTTGTCAACGACTCCTAAGAATAGAGACCTTTCAAACATGACCCTTCAAATGTTACCACCTCAATAATTACTAGAAGTACATTCCTCTTAACCCACCCTAATATTTATCAGTGGTCTGTTATGATCTGTGAGCGACTCTTTAATCTTTGTTTTATTTCATGCTAATTAACAATTTGTATTCTTGATACTTAGCCACTGGTGTCACATCAAGTCAATCCTCAAACCCTCAGCAAGGAACAGAAAACACCTCTCCCCTTCCAAACCCATGGTCTGCTGCGCCCACTCAACCAATTCCACCACCAGTGCCTCAGATATCCACACCCTCGACTGCTTCTGCAGCCTCTACTACTCCTGTGTCCAGGTTAGTCTTGAAAGAGTTTGTGATTACTTTAAAATGGCATGTGCTCCAATGTTCAGTTATAAGAAGGCTAAGACCAAAGACGTTAACTGATTTTCATCTGTGAAAGTGTCTTTCCCTTTGTCAGTGATAGACAGCAAAACTGGTTATGCTTATGTAGAATTTCAATCAGGTAATTCTTGATATTTTTATCTGCATTATATATGAATAATTGCAAAAAAGTTATTATAAGAAAAGTGAAAAGAGGAAAAAGTCAATTAGTGGAGTTACACTGTATTTATATATTGCCAGAAAGACAATTTTTGCAGAGTTTCCTTTGAGAGGTTCTTTCAAAACTTCTTGGGAATCTCTGATATCTGTTAAGAAGGGTCAAGCAATTCCAAAGCTTTGTTGGGGTTCTAGCGAAGGAAATGTCTGAGGTTGGACAGACAAGAAAATCACCTTGTTCTTTTCACCCACGTAACAAAAGGCATTGTTTGCTGCAGTGGAACCCCGATATAACGATATGCCAAGGGAGCAGTGGAATTAGATCGTTGTGTCGAGTTATCGTTATATCGAGACAGGGTTCTGTCCCATACATTTTACTGTAACTTTTGCTGGGACAGAGCATATTTATCGTTGTGCCGGGAATATCATTATATCGAGGATCGTTATATCGGGGTTCTGTTAAGGATTATTTTCTATTCTTTCGTTTTCTAAGAGAATTATTTTAAAAAAAAAAAAAAGAAAAGAAAAAAGAAAAAAGAGCGAACCGGAAGTTATGTTACTGAATTATGTTATTGAGTGACAGTTTAAAAATAAAAAGACCCGGATTTACGGGAGGTGTGCTGACGCCGAAAAGAGAAAAGAGAAAGAATCTTGTGTGGTTTTTCTTCGTTGTTTCTTTTACGGAATTTTCAACAAGTTTGGGAGTTTGGATTGGGAAAATTTAGAAACCTAAGGAGAAACATTTTCTGGTCCCTCGAGCCGGATTATTGGACTAAAAGTTAGACTTTTCAAAGGGAAGCGGTCTTGGACGTGGAGTATTCGGGTAATCTTGACAGTAGTGTTGTCTTCATCAAAAGTGGGGAAAATTTGTGGATTTTATTAAGGAAATCAGTGGAAACATGTTGGAAAATGAAGATAACACCGAAGACCGTATGTCGAAAGTGGAAGCTTTAAAGGCGGAAAAACGGAATTTAAAAGGGGCGAGACGGAAATTAAAAGGGACAAGACAGGTAAACGAGTTAGCGAGTCGGATTGCTGGCGTCAGCGGCGGCATTGAACCGATAAGTTTGGAAGAAATTAATAAAGCTACTTTGGAGCGTCTGGAAAAGATTAAGGAGAAAACTTTCGAAATATTGGAAGAGTTACGGACAGTGTATCAGGAGTTAAGGAACACTGAAATGCAAGTTAAAGTCGGGGATGAAGCGGACGAATTAAACGAAAGAATTGAAGATGAAACTAGCACCGTTCGTCGTGTCTTAATTTCAGTTCC